GTAACACCTCAGTCTCTCCCGAGACCATGATTGCTGTAAAGCATTCGAAACGTCAGGAACCAAAAATCAAAATAAATCCGCGAAATAATCCGAAAATATAGTTTTATTTAAAACATGTAAATACGTATTATGTGAATGTCATAATATTGCTTCTTAATAAAACGTTTTTTGACATTTTTATACAAATTTTTAACATTTTTATTTTTAGCTAGCAACTTACCCTCGCCTCGCTCGGGTGTGTCCGTTTGTCTGTGTCCTAGGTAGATACGTTTTAATTATTTTGAGCTCTAACTTTTTTTCTAAAATAAAAGTAGCCTAAGTTACTCCTTATAACGTCTATTATTTGCAAGTGAAAGTCTCGTCAAAATCAATTCAGCCGTTTCAGAGATTAGCCAGAACAAACAGAAAGACAAACATTTCAAAAATTGTGTTTTTCTTATAAGTACAGTATATAATTTCATAAGCATTAAGTAAAAGCTGCTATTTTGACATTACAAACAGACACTTCAATTTTATTAATCGGTTTATAGAATATTGTACCTAGAATTACATTTTGTCTTAGACCTTTTATAAATCTCAGTATACGAATCGAACCTGCGATATTCAGTGTCATATGCACAAGTCAAAATACTCCACTGCGTCTTAAAGGGTCATTTTATATTTTTATATGTATGGTACATATATATGTATATTTTATATGTATGCTATGTCATTTATTATAATAGGAAAAAACAAGAGGAGAAAATTGACCGTTATGTCATATACAGGAAGATGTATTACATAAATAATAATAGAAACAATTATGAGCGGAAACATCAGATATAAGTCATTATTGTTAGGGAAAAATATAAATGGTATAAGTAAGTACATTATAAATAATGTCTAATGTTGGTATAGTGTTTACCGATATAGCAGCAGATAGTGAGGTTCTGGATTCGAATTCCGGATGGAGAAAAATAGTTTTTGGATTTCTTGTTAAAAATATTAGAGTTATTATCATTATCTATACTTATTATAAAAATAAGTCCCCCGGCCGCGTCTTTCTGTCCTCCTGTCTGTCCTCCTGTCTATCTGTACGCGATAAACTCGAAAACTACTGAACGGATTTTTATACGGTTTTCAACAATAGAAAGAGTAATTCTTGAGGAAGGTTTAGGTATATAATTTATTATGCTTTTATGTAAATTAGCTGAAATACGGCGACAAATGTTGAAGAGGTCGCAAAAAATCTCGCCAAATGGGAACTTTCCACGCGAACGCCGCGTAAACTAGCAAAGATACAGTTAAGTAATGTACTAGAGAATTCAAAATCTATAAAAATGCTACAAAAAAGTCCGCGATAGCATATCTCTATCTCTTACGGTTGACTTACAATAACCACTTTTATGTTAACATTTTTAATTAAAAACATTACGTTATTTTCAAAGTTATTTTCTTTAGTTCGGTATTAATCCTTATCCAAATGAATATTTTAGTTAGCTTAGTCATTTAATGCAGATTAAAATTGCTCTTTACACTAAATCAATCAGATGAATAGTTTTTGAGATATCGTTGTTAGAAGTAATTAGTAGCGAAACATTTTTAATGCTTGGCGAGCATTGAGATGCCTACGGCGAGTCCATCCCCTCTGCCCCGCATCGCTCGACCGCCTGCTCAAGCTATATAAACCGGGCGATGTAGCGCGCGATCCTAGGATACTTTTTACCGCGGGAAAATATCTTATTTCTGAGGAAAAATACAAAAACTGCAATGTAAGAGTATACTAATATGTAACACCTAAGAATTTAGTTTTTGGTCATCTGAACGCGGGCGGAGCCGCGGGCAATGCTAGTGTATACATAAAATTGAAGTACATACCTACCTGTTTATGATTTCAAAATAACTATGTTTTCTCAAGTACATAGACTTATATAACCTAAATACTCCTTTTTAAATATTTTGTCTGTCTGTCTGTGTACGTAACTGGGCAACTGGGCTTTTCTCGCTGTAGGCTCTCTTTCAGTACAGCCGTTTCCGAGATCACGAAATAAATATACAAGAATCGCTTATTTAATATTATACGATAAATAGAATAAAATAACACTAAATGCCATTTATAAATACTCCTTTATATGTAGGTCGATCTCCATGCACGATAAGTAACAGCGACAACAACTATGATACCAATTTACAACAGTGTTACCTAAGCTTAAAATCCTGAAAATTCAGACGTAAAATCTCCATAGAAAAATATTTTAGTTTATTTTAATAAAGTAAGAGTTGTTGTCGACTTCATAATTATTGACGGCTTTGTACATTTAAAAAATGATAGCAAAAACTTGTCTCGTTTGTAGGGTAACCAGATTTTTGACTATATAACTAAAAATCATAATAAATCCGCAAAAAATCCAAAAAGATAGTTTTATTTAGACAAAATATTTATTTTGTTCTACATAAAACTACCATAGACAAAATATTTATCTTGTTCTAAATAAAACTACGTTTTCGGATTTTTTTGCGGATTTATTTTAATTTTTGGTTCCCGACGTTTCGAATGTTTTACAGCAATCATGGTTGCGGGAGAGACTCTCCCGTCTCCTCTCGGCGAAAACAAAAAAATAAAATAAATCCCAAAAGTTAAATAGATTGTTTTATTTAAAATGTTAAATATTCGCGTAAATCTAAAAAGCGTTTTTTCTTATATTAAATCTTTATTATCTAAAAATATTAGGAAATAGATAATATTTTTCGCGAAGACATTTGAACGCAGTGGAACAGCGCGTTAAGTGGTGTTGCTGGTCGCAAGGTATATTTTTTAATTGACTAATTTTATAAAAATCATAAGCATGTATCGTCTACACATTTAGTTTTATTCTCGATAAGATTTAGTATTTTAACTCAAGACAAAACGTTTTTATACCTACCTTTTGAAAGCTATAAATCATTAGTAACTTATGTTATAACTAAGTACTTTAACCCAAAGCATACTCATATAAAAGAAAAATAAATAGAATTTAACTTATAATTTAGTAGTCATTTAATTGCGAAATATTCATCATTTCAAGATGATTCTTTCATAGAAGAATAGCGGCTTGTCCTCTTTAAAATATCATAGATACGATAATATATGGATTAGAAGAACACTAAATCATTATTCGGATGAGAAACTGTCTGTCGTTAGGAAACCACGTTGATTAGTTATCTCATATTTACAAGTAACAAAAATTTACAAACCGACAAACATAATGTAACATAGTAATTAATATTAATATGTTCATTTAAATCCGTGACGTAACAAACGGTTGGTGCACGTAGGTCTTAATTTTGAGAACAATTAAAAGACTTGTCTGCTAAAATACGGCAACCCAGTTTTGAAATAAATCCGTCTACGTGTCAATTTACGTCTTTAATATTAAACGGGATGGAAGATTTTTTGCTCAAACTTTTTAAAATATGCGAGACCTAAGTTTGTTAATTTACAGCCACTTTAGCAACGAGGTTTCACTGAATATTTCTTAATTTTCTCATTTCGTGGATGCTTTCCATCTGTATTTGATACTTTGGGTATTTTATTTTAAGTAACAGTATTTTGTAGGCTTTACTATGAAACAATTATAGTTTTAAAACAGTAAAAATTGCGCTTTCTATTAAATGTAATGTGGGACTTGTCAAAATGAATCAATAGTGTTCAAACTCGAAAGTTTTACTATTAAAGAGTTCCACAATATATCTACCTAATGTTTTTATATAATGAAAATACCTATCTAATGGTATATCAGAACAGCTCTATATCAATTTATGGAGTCCTTATTCAGATTTCACATATTTACAAGTTGCCATAGTAACAAAAACATTTAGAAGTACTTAGATTGAAATCTTACCGTCAGTTACAACTAAAAGTATGGAGACTTTTAACTACAAGTAAAGCTTATAGTATCTTAACATAAAATTACATTACTTAATGTTATTACTGAAGTTGGAAAATCTTGTTCTATTTTTTTTTCCGGTCCTTCCGCTATCTATAACTTTCGTAGAGAATAAAGTTATGAAAGCAAGAGTATTCATGACAAAACATTAACTAGTGAGATTAATACATACATTGAAATCAGACTTGGCAGCAAGCTATCTAACCCTGGTGCCAAGTTTGATTTTCAATAACCTATGAATCTAGCCAAGTCCAACTTGGACGCACATATTTTAATCAATATATTAGGATATTAAGGTCCTATTTTATTAAAAAACACGAGACAAATGAAAATCTATACATCATTATAATAAAATTGTAACTAAGCCGAACTTGTAATTAAAATATTTTTTGGAAAATCTTATTGAAATAAACATTATTATCCATACAGAGGCGGAATCTATAGTTTTTAGAATTTTTGTCTGTCTGTCTGTTAACGCATCACAGAAAACCACTGAAGGGATTTTAATTAAATTTGGTATAATGATAGCTGGTTATCCGTTTCAACATATAGGATACTTTATCGCGGGAAAATATCTCATTTCTGTGAAAAAATATAAAAACTGCAATATAAGAGCATACTAATCCGTAAAACCTAAGAATTTGATTTTTGGTCATCTGAACGCGGGCGGAGCCGCGAGCTATACTAGTGATAAATATATGTATGATGGTATATGAAGCACTCAAATCATACCATTACAATTTTACCTAAAAAATAACTTATTTAGCATTTTTCCATTCAAACGTTCCATTTATTTAAAATTTCCCCATAACCAAAAACATTGTGATGTAAATAACTTTCATCTGTAATGCGGTGAAATTTTTTAAAAGCGTAAAATTTGAATACGTAAATCGCCATGTATGGAACTCGAGGCGGCACAAAGAACTTTTAATCGCTTCCAAACAACAGAATTAGTTACACACTGTGAAAAGTCGATTTGTTTAACAGCTGAAAACAAAGACGACTTTCCTTGCTCGCGTACAAAATATGGGCGTTTGAGGCATAAGTGTTATTTATTTAAACGATCCCGTACTGTAGAGATGTACTAAAAGTTAAATGATCACATATAAATATCGTAAATTTAAAGGTTGGTTTAAAAAATAAAAAAAAAGTGATAATAATGAAAAATTTTATAATTTTAACTCTATGTTTTGTGTGTTGTTATTGTTTAAAAAGCAATGATTTATCGATATTGGAATCGAGGGCCAAAAAGAAGAAAAGCTCTATTAAATTACTGGGTAAGTAACAAAGTCCTTCTGACCGATTTCGCATACGGCGGCCAATCTCACTGAGATTACCAGAACCGCAGACCGAGAGACCAGATGCGCAGAAGAAACTGTATTGAACAAGTGTACGAGCAGACACTATTGCACTCTCTATTCCTTTTACTCTCAAAGTCCTACGGGACGATACTTCGACACGATCATTAAGAGTTAAGGCGCAGGACCGACGGCTTTACGTGCTCTCAGTGGCATGGGGATGCAACGCCGCCAACTTCCAAACTCCGGGCTACTATTGAGAATATCTTAACAGAAAAACTCAATAATTAAACTTGGCCCGACCCGGGACTCGAACCCAGGACCACATACTAGCCCACTAACTAGACCACCGATTAACTAGGTTAGGCTAAACAGTTAACTAGGTATTTGATTGTTTACGCGCCTTCGATTTTCGTGTATAACAAATATTGGTGTTGTTAGAAAAGATTTAGTACTAAACTTATCTACGTAAATTGAAAATAAAATATATATGATATATTACGTACATTTTCTGTAAGAGCTTAGAACTATTTTTGATTTAAACATCTCATCATTTATTAAAGTGTACTTAATTCATTCAGACCTGAATATTTAAATAAATGAGTTATTGCTTAGTAAATATTGCGATGCCTGATAAATATTGTGACTGATTTTCTACTATTTTCTCATTTTATTATAAACTAGCGGCTCACCCACGCTTCGCTCGGGTTCGTCGCTAGGTACGTTTTAAATAGATATAAATAGTAATTAGCCAGCGTTAACCATATAATTTTTTTTTTGTTAATAATATTGACTTGAATATTTATACGATACTAACGTTACTCAATTTTTTGCCTTCCCGGAACCTCTCCACTAACACTTAAACCTTATGGTATGGTATTAAAGTTCAAATCAACTTTTAAGTATTATTACGAATCTTTTGTATGGGAGTATAGAAAAGTGCTGTTGTTAGACTTTTCCAGGCAATTTTTTAAATTTTTCTCTCCGTAAGAACCATCCTCGTACTTCAAGGAATATTCTAAAAAAAGAATTAGCGAAATCGATTCAGCTGCTCTCGAGATTTGCGCTTACCAACATATTCAGCGATTCATTTTTATATTATAGATTGCGAGGTAAAAATAATGAATCCATACTATATCCCATTAGTAATGAAAAACTGTCGCCGTGCTTTGTAGTAGAAGGGTTTGTAGTATATATATATATATATATATATATATATATATATATATATATATATATATATATATATAAAAGAAAGTCGTGTTAGTTACACTATCTATAACTCAAAAACAGTTGAACCGATTGGCTGAAAATTGGTGGGCAGGTAGCTTAGAACCAAGAGACGGACATAGGATACTTTACATCCCATTCGACCGCGTTTCCGTGTGACGTGACATAAAACTCAAGGACGGCTGGACCAATTTTTATGATATTTGAATTTTTGGATTTCTCTTAGTCGGGATTGGGATAATAAGTATTAAAATTTCAGGAAAATTAACGAAAAAGAAGTTATATGGCTAACGCTAGAATAATAATATAATATAATTTAATCAGCCCACTACTCTGTACGGAAATCGAATCATACACCTCGGCTACTTAGTGTCAATTCGTCACATATCATATTCCACCATGCCAGTCATTATTTCCTATTTAATTACAGACAAGAACAGACTTTTTACTGAAAAATTGCAATCTAAAGTTTTTGCATCGTAATAGTTGCTGTATAGTTTACAGTTGGTTTTGTTTGAAGTTGAAAATTACATCGCCAGTCGAACTTTGTTCGAGAGAAAGTTTTTTGCAATAAAGGTTTTAAGTAGATACAAAATTAATAAGATAGCTGGAAATTAATACTATTAAGTTTAGTAAGTGTGAATATTGTAACCATTATAAAACCATATCATTTTAACAGAAATCAAATAAATTTAAATTAACTTTTACAAGCACTTTTGAAATAAAAATATCTTTTTCGATTTTTTTGCGGATTTATTTTGATTTTTGGTTTCATATAAAAGACAAAAACAAAATTGTTCAGTCTTTTTCTTCTCCATTTGTCAACCGATTTCCTTTTTTTATGAGCAGCTATTGCTATAGCTTTATATATCAATAAAATAAAATTAAAAATAGGTTTTTTATACTATTATTAAAAAAACTGTTTTATAATTTATTATGGTCAAATTTCGATAGCTACGCTAACACTATGTACAGGTTTTTTTTATACCACGTCGGTGGCAATCAGGCATGCGGCCCGCCTGATGGTAAGCGGTTACCGCAGCCTATGGACGCCTGCAACACCTGGGGCATCACGTGCGCGTTGCCGACCCTTTAAAAACCTTGTTACTCCCCTTTTGAAGGACCCCATACTGTAGCCTAGTTGGCAAGAAAAAAACACTTTTAAAAACTTATTTTACAAACTTATTTGTAAACTTATTATTTCCCCATTTCCAGGTATGATCTTGCTTTTCGTGCTATCAAAGGTGGCAATCTTCAAAGCTGTCTCCGTGTTTCTTATGATGACGTTCTTCCAAAAACTTTTCACTATTGGAGGAGTACTGTTTAGATATTTCATGAAAACTAAAATGGAGAAGCCCCCACCAACATATGGTGCACCACAAAATTATGACACAGTCGGCTATAGTTATGGACCACCTGAACACGAGAGTCTTCATCAAAATGGGTACCCTGGTGTAGATGTTGCCAGTTCTTTTGATTGGCTTTTGAATAAACATGTTAAGTAACGTATAATTGTTTTATTCTTACTTAGAGGCCAGGCTGTGGTTTCACTTAGGTGTATAGTGTTCATTAATCGACACTATACACTGGGTATTCCACGACACGTTTGGTTCGGCTTGTAGTGACCCTACTTTCTATGCCAGCGGTCGTGGGTTCAAGTCTCGTTGGAGGCATTCATTTGTTTGATGAGCACGAATGTTTGTACTCCAGTCATGGGTGTTATACATATTTATAATATGTAGGTATGTATTGAAAGTTATGTATCAACTATCTGGTATCCATAACACAAGCTTTGTAGCTTACCATGGAACTAGATGGTGCTGTGTGTTAATGTCCCGACATATTTATTTATTTATGGACATATACATGCTAGGTTTATTGTACTCCTGATTAGATTTTATTTTTTAACAATTTAACGAATGAGGTAATTAATTTACTCGTAGTATAGAATTAATTATTTGGGGGAAAATTACTTTTATAGTAGGTAATTCTAAAGACAGCATTCTTCTTTGTTCAAGAAATAATTAATGATCAAAGTTTTAATAATATGCTATCTATACTAATATTAAAAAGAGGAAAGATTTTTTGTTAGTTTGCTTGTTTACTGTTTGTTTGTTTGTTTCTTTGTTTGTTTGTTTGTTTATTTGTTTGTTGGTTAATACAAATAAAAATAATAAAACCAAATAAACTTCGAAACTATTGAACCGATTTAGATAAAATTTGGTAAAAAGATAGTATGAGACCGCTGAAAGTAAATAGAATAGTTTTAATTCCGGAAATCATCCCTTAAGGGAGTGAAAATGGGGATGAAAGTTTGTATGGGGAAGCAACGTAGGGACGAACACGAGCGAAGCGAGGGTGAGTCGCTAGTATCCAATAAAAGGATTCTTTTAACGAACATAAATATACAATGTTTTTACTAAAAATTGAAAAGTATTTGAGTGACTTTAAATAAGATTTTAAAAATTCGTCATCCGTGCATTCAATTTTACATACAAGAGAAATTGAAAGCAGACAATCTCATATCAACTGTAGGAACTAATCTTAGTTACCACAAAGCCTTGCTACAGTGAGATTTGCATCAGCCGGCCACGTGCTTTAAGGAAAAGCTTTTCTTTAACATGATCACCAGAAGACCAAAGTAGAGTAACCAAAATATAAATTTGTAGTTTTCTCCTATTAAAATGGGATTACAGTAAATATTATTATTTAATTTTATGATTTTCGCTAATGCTATATTTCTCAAAATTCGAATTTAAATTCGCGCAAATAAACACCTAATAAAAAAAAATTTGTAACATATTTTTTAGTTAAGCAATTTAAAAAAAAATTAATCACATTTGATCATAAAAGCTGTAAGTCCACAAAATAGGGATAAACATCCCTATTTTGTGTTGTGTTTGTAGCAATTTTATAATTTTATTTTTTTATTTTATTTATAATATCCATACTAATGTTATAAATGTAAAAGTTTGTGAGGATGGATGGATGTTTGTTACTCTTTCACGCCAGAACGGCTGAACGGATCTGGATGATTGACATAGATTAAAAGTACCATAAGTTGCATCAACGATCTGCTAGTGAAAGTAACGTAAAAATCAGTCTAGGGCGTTACGGAGATGATCTGAAACAAACAGACAGACAAAAAATTAATCTTTTCTTCTTATAAGTACCGTATATACATATTCATATGAATTTAGCGAGAAGCTGTTATTTTGATATTACAAACGGACACTTCAATTTTATTTATTTGTATTGGTAGACTGTAGGTAAAGAGTATCGGAAGCTTAGTCAAAATAATGGTATAGGAAACCAACACTGGCCAGTCCTTAGCGAATAAGGGAAGGCAATAAATAACCCGCGGCTTGGTTAAGAGGAAAATAACGGTAATTAAAACGAAAGATAAATGTTCTACGTGATGCACGTTTCTTCTGAATGTACATTCAATTATTAAAAAGACTTGGAAAAAAAAATTTAAGTGGATTTTTTGCTCTTTAGTCTGTTTTCATTTTAAGAAAATTTAAGGAAAATCTAAACATCTTTAAATAGGGCCTATGATATATATATATATATATATATATATATATATATATATAATATATATATATATATATATATATATATATATATATATATACCCAAGCGGAGCGAGAGTGAGTTGCTAGTGTTTTATAAAAATTGATAAACGAAATAAAGTTAATTGTGTGGCTTTGAAAGAAGATTTATTTTATCTGGTACTGCATATTGCTAACTAACCAATATTCATATATTATTATCTTTTCAACTTCAATATTTACTTGAAAAGGAAAACGATATTTAACGTTCATTAATGTCTTCCGTATTCCATATCTTTTTAATTACTTTCAAACTCTTAAATAAATAAAGCAGATACAAACTTCAAATTAAATAATAAATTTAAAATTCAGGGAGTATATTCCAATTAATACACATAGAAATAAGATTTCTGTACAAAAAATAATATAACAATATCAATAAAAATGAAATTAAAATATTTAAAAGTTTTCTTATCCTTTATCCTACGGGATATAGAAAAAAAATTGCTTCATCGATTTTAATGGCACTTTCAGAGAAGGTTAGATTAGTTAGAGGATAAACGTTTTACGATTTTTTTGGTACAGAGTTTTATACAATACATAATATGTATACAGGGTCATTTTTAATTTACTGAAAACCTTTTGGGAATACACTATTTTCAACATAACAACAACATCTGTAAGAAAAAAAATATATCTTAAATTTTACAAAAATAAAAATATTTTTATTGCGCCTTCTAAACGGTAATAGTCCAGCATTAGCAAAAGAAAGCGTGTCCGGTGGAGAGGGATGGGTGGAGGGGTGTAGAAAGCCACGCTTACTCATTTAAACTTGGCCAGATGCTAGAACTTTAAGGTTTAGAAGGTGCAAAAAAAATATTTTTATTTTCGTATGAAATTTTTTTTAAGAAATATTATTTTTTCTTGTTACAGATGTTGTTGTTATGATGTAAAATAGTATTTTCCCAAAATGAAGTAAATTATAAATGACCCTATATAGTAAATGTGCGCCTAATAACTAATTACTGTGCAAGTCATGTCCGAGTTATAGTGGCAAGGACGCTAGCTGCATTCTTCTACTGAATCGCAATTACGAAAAACGGGCCAACCCACATTCACTTACTCTCACGTCAAATCTATACATATAACAAAATTCTAACTGAGTCGAATCTGTACATTAAATATTTTTTGGAAAATCTTATTGAAATAGTCACTATTATCGATACAGAGGTTGATCTATAGTTTTTAGAATTTTTGTCTGTCTGTCTGTCTGTCTGGGAACTCATCACGAGAAAATCACTGGACAGATTTTGATAGAATTTGGTATGGTGATAGCTGGTTATCTAAGTGAAACGCTAGTACTCAATAAAATTTAGTCTCTAAAATACGTTATTTGGTTATATAGTATAGGAGATAATAAAAAATAAAGTTATATAGAGAAGCTAGTATTATACGGGCAAATAGTACCGGACTATTATAAATGTGAAAAATTGTATAGGTATGTGTGTCTGTTTGCTACTCTTTCACAATAAGGCGGCTGTACCGATTTGGATGAAACATGTATACAGATATAACACAAAGGATAAGACGCTAATATTATAATATTTGTTTAATATTGATAGAAGTTACTATATCTAATACTTTTTAGATTAACGCGAATATTTGACATCTATGTATATAAAATAAAGTCGGGTTTTTTACAAAACTTACATAACTCGAGAGCTGCTGGACCGATTTTCATGGTTTTTGATTTGTTGGATTTGTCTCCGCCCCGAATAGCAGTATAACTAAAATATTTAAAAAAAATCACGAAAAATTTACACGTATGTGGCTCACGCTGGCTAATAATGTTTATATCTATATAACGTACCTGGTGACGAACCCGAGCGAAACGAGGGTGAGCCGTTAGTTTTAAATAAAACAATGTCCTTAAATTGCCATGATTGCTGTAAAGCATTCGAAACGTCGGGAACTAAAAATCAAAATAAATCCGCGAAAAAATCAATTTATTTACAATGAAGGTATCTACTATATTTAGTATCTGGAAAAATCTGGTCACACTACTGAAAAGAATTTAAACAAGATAATAAATTATCCTTCTTATGGAGTTCTCAGGATGAGCTTTACACGAGTACGAGTCTGGTTCGTTCTTTCTAGATCCCTTTAAATGATTGTCTTCACTGGAAATGTAATAAAATTGTTCGTGCTAACAATATGTTAGAAAACAGAGGCTTCATTTTATATTTGAATTATAGTCGCTAAGTAAGATAAGTATAAGTAGACTATAACCAACCCTTTTCACAGGGCAAAGTCCTTCACGCTGGTGAAGTGCGGGTTTGCGGACTTCATGTGCCTTTTGAAAACTTGATAAATACTCTCAGACATGCAGGTTTTCTAACGATGATTTTCTTCACTGTAAGACAAATGATAATTTTGTTGAAAACGTTTATGACTTTTAGGCTTGCCAGTTGGGCACATTATATACTATTGTAAATATATGTAGACGTTATAAAATTAAAACATACTCAAGATATTTGTTTACTTACTGGATATACAGTCGTTATTTCTAAAGAAATGGAAATTTCATATAGACACCTCCGTTTCTTAAAATGGACGATACAAGATTTAGATAATATACTAATATTTGTAGCTATATGTAATAATTAGAAGTACTCAGATAATTGTTGGTATAGCTTTCTATCTGAAAAACAGATGTTAAAAATATTCATAAGTCTGGCTAAATTACAATTTTTGTACAGGTTTTTAATTTTAGTATAGATTCATTGACTATATTTAAGACTTGCGACTCACTCGTTGTGCTCGGGTTCGCCTCTACTTACGTATTAACGTTTAGTATAGATTTCTTAGAGATGAAAATTTTTCTTAAACTATAGTTTCGGCCTCTATGTCGATAATAATGACCATTTCAATAAGATTTTCCAAAAAAA